AACCACAGTTAAAATGGACAAACAAATGAAATTCCTCTCAAATGGTCCACTCTGTTCCATGGCCAGCACTGGGTAAAGACCAGATCTAGCCTGGCCGGTGTGGCTCAGTGGTTGAGCGTCAACCTATGAACCAGGAGGTCACCATTCAATTCCCAGTCAGGGCACATGTCCAGGTTGTGGGCTCAATCCCCAGTGTGGGGCGTGCAGGAGGCAGCTAATCATGTTTCTCTCTCATCACTGATGTTTCTATCCCTCTCTCCCTCTCCCTTCCTCTCTGAAATCAATAAAAATTTTAAAAAAAATTTTTTTTAAAAAGACCAGATGTAAAAATTAGGCTGTCTGCAAGATGGAATACGGATGTACTCAAGTAATTGGATTTATTAACTTGTGTTCCAGATATATAGGTCATTATTTTATCCCCTTTATTAGATAGACCACAGGCAGAATCTAAGACGGAATGCATAATACAGAAAGCACTCTAATTGTGTGTCCATTAAAAGAGACTGAGGGCTTTAAAAAAGGTAAAAAGTAGATTTCCCTCTGAGCTAAATAATAATAATAAAGTTAACCTTTAAAATAAAGACCCTGTAATAATTTAATCACCCTTTTCCTATTTACAAAATTAATATTAGAAGCTGAGTCATGTTGGAATTCAATAAAATTATTTTATTAACTTCCTCTAAAGTTTAAGAAATACTTTATAAAACCTCTCTTCTTATAATCCAGTCTTATCCTTAAATCTGCTGAAGAATTGGATCACACTTTACTCCTATAAAAACTTAATTTCACCCAAATTAGAAATATTTAATTAGAAATGTTTCAAAGCTGATTCTTCCAGGCACCAAACATAACATCCTGTTAAAATAAGCTAACAGCTTTTAAAAATCATACAAAATAGAACCTTAAAAATACACATGTATACACATTAAAAATTCTGTAATTACTAGTGATTTTTTGGAATTTATAAAAATGTACCAACAGACTGTGTAGAAGGGAACTGTTAGAATCATAGTAATTAGTGTGGAAACTCTGATACACTATTTGGGAATGGTACCTTCCTTGTTAGGACATACAATAATGCTAGTGTTTACTTCGAAAAGAAACCCACTCTTTCTCGAATATTAGTCTATATGCTGATGGGAGCTTGAGCCCCTAAATATATTTTCAAGTTTATTCATTTCAATTCTGCAGAATGGGAACATTATACAGATGTGAACTAAATATTTCCTTTCAATTGTATATTTCAATTTTTGATGACAAAATCAGATGTTTGCAGTTTTGAAAGTTGCTAGTTTGACACTGTTGGGGAACCCCAGGTGAACAGCAAAATTACCAACTGCCCAGAATAAAAGGAGCCATGAAAACCTCATAAGCATAGTATCATGCAGCATGTCTTTCAAAAGAAACAATCCCAAATGTAGTCTCTTTACACTGATGTAAGCATGGTTAATCTTGCTGCTAAGGTGATTATTTTTAGCCAAGATCTTTCTTATTGACATATATCCCAATACATTTTTAAAAACTGAGATTGGATAAGTTCTTTATAAATTTTGGACAGTAATGCCTTATCAGATGTATTAGTGAATATGTTCTCCCATTGAGTGGTTGTCTTTTAATTTTGTTGATGGTTTCCTTTGCTATGCAAAACCTTTTTTTTGTTTGTTTGATATAATCCCATTTGATTTTTTCTTTTGTTTCTGTTGTCCAAGGAGTTAGATCAGAAATGTTATGAGAGATGTCTGAGATGTTACTGCATATGTTTTCTTCTAGTATTTTTATGGTTTTAATTCTAACATTTAAGTCTTTGATCCATTTTGAATTTATTCTTGTATATAGTGTAAGAAGGTGGTCTAGTATCATTTTTGCACATATCTGTCCAATTTCCCTAACACCATTTACTGAATAGACTATCTTTACCCCATTGTATGTTTTTGCCTCCATTTTCAAATATTAATTGACCATAAGGGCAGTGGATTTATTTCTGGGCTATCTAGTACGTCCCATTGATCTTATATGTCTGTTTTTATGCCAGCACCATGCTGTTTTTGTTTTTTGTGTTCTTTTTGCTAATCCTCATCTGAGAATATTTTTTTCATTAATTTTTAGGGAGAGTGGAAGGCAGACAAGAAGGGAGAGAGAAAGAGAGAGAGAGAGGGAGAGAGAGAGAGAGAGAGAGAGAGAGAGACTGACTTTGATGTGAGAGGGTCAAATCGACTGGTTGCCTCCTACACATGCCCTGACTGGGGTTGGAGATAAAATCTACAGCCCAGCTAAATGCCCTTGACTGGGAATCAAACCCATGACACTTGGGTGCTCAGGCTGATGCTCTAACTACTGAGCTATACTGGCCAGGGCAGTACCATGCTGTTTTGATTACTAGGGCCTTATAGTATAGTTTTATATCAGGTAGTGTGGTTCATCCAACTTTGTTTTTCTTTTTCAAGATTGCTGAGAGCTTATACAACAACACCAAAAAAAAAAAATCAATCCTATTAAAAAATGTACAAAGGACCCGAATAGACATTTTTCCAAAGAGAACATACACATGGCCAATAGACATATGAAAAGATGCTCACCATCACTAATTATCAGAGAAATGCAAAGTAAAACCACAATGAGATATCACTTCACACCTGTCAGAATAGCTATCTTCAAATACATCAACATGCAAGTGTTGGCAACGATGTAGAGAAAAGGGAACTCTTGTGCACTGCTGGTGAGAATGCAGACTGGTTCAGCCACTGTGGAAAGCATATGGAGTTACCTCAAAAAATTAAAAACGGAACTGCCTCATAACCCAGCGATTCCACTTCTGGAAATACATGGGTGGGCATTAGTAGGCTTACAGTTGTTCATAGAGAAAAAGACTTGCAGGTTACGATAACTACAATAGCTTTATTAACTCAAAAGAATGTTACTCACAACTATAAACCTACTTTTGACCACCCCTATATATGTGAAGAAAACTGAAACACTAATTGGAAAGAATATACGTAGCCCTGTGTTCATTGCAGCATTATTTACATTAGCCAAGATTTGGAAGCAGCCCAAGTGCCCATCAGGAGATGAGTGGATAAAAAAGCTGTGGCACATTTACACAATGGAATACTACTTGGCCACAAAAAGACTACCTTTTGCAGCAGCATGAATGGACCTGGAGAATATTATGCTAAGGGAAATAAGCCAGTCAGATAAAGACAAAAACCATATGATTTCACTTATACGCGGACTATAATGAACAAGACAAACTAACAAAATAGCAACAGACACATAGATAGAGAACAGACTGACAGCTGTCAGAGGAGAGGGTGTAAGGGGCTCATTGAAAAAGGTGAAGGGATTAGCCAAAAAAAATCCTCATAGACAGACAATATATAGACTGCCCGAGAGGTAAAGTTTAAGAAGAAGAATAATGATGTAGAACTCTCTCTTATTCCCCTAAGAAGCAAGATGTTTTTATTTTTCAACACTAGGGTGTCTTGGGCATCATTTTGGGATTTTCCTGAGAAATATCCATAATATACTGCCACTCACTAACTATAAGGCCTTGGGGACGCTATTAAATGTCCTGACCCTTATTTTCTCATTTGTAAAATGTGGCTGACAACGTCCACTTCATTGAGTACTGTGAACATTAAATAAGGTCAATTCTAGAAAGGGCCTTCACCCAATTACTAGCATATTGTAAATGGTCAAAAATCGATAACTACAATTATTATAATCATAAACAATATTGAAAGAGTCTTCTCTCCATTCTGAGAGGTATATTATGACATTGTGTGTGTGTGTGTGTGTGTGTGTGTGTGTGTGTGTGTGTTTTCTTTCAATATTTCTTAAGGTTGCTGTAGGCTCATTTTTGGCCCTTTTTCTAAAAGCTTTACTATATGTTTTTAAAAATCCTTTTAAGATCTATACTCCTCCTGAATGAGAATAAAACTTGTACTTAGTTTCACGCAAACAATTGTTCAACAGAAGCCCCTTCAATTTTTAATTACTCCCGCTTCCCTCTCCAAGTTCACTGTTATTCACTGACTTTTTTTATCTTAAAAGCCCGTCAGGGTACATTATTTATGTTATATTCAATAGGGAGAAAGAGAAGAAAAGGAATCTTATTCAGGACACTAACTCTAACCTTGAAATGTTATTTTCTGAACATTTGTTCTGCTCACTGAGCAAATTTTAGTCTTCAAGTCAGATGTCTAAATACAGTGCTTGAGCTCGGCTCAAAGGCTAAAAATATAGACTTCGGCACAAGGTGACAGTTACAAAGGAAGGTGTTTAGAATACGGTGCAATAGAAGCTAAGGTAATTGAGCATTAGCTAGAAGGATTTTTCATCTACACTGGAGCTCTGGAGTCAATCCTAGGCTGTTGTCCTTTGAAATACATTTTACTTGAAAAGAGAGTCAATTAAGTGGTTTCCTGAAATCCTTCACCAGGTCCTCAATTTTCATCATTTGAAGACTGCAAGTAACAGAAGCCTTTGTCAGTCCCTCTCTCTTAGAGTATGTCTAAAAGTGTATTCCACAAAGCATACTACGTCTGAGTAGTGAGTAAGACTGGCCATCCAATATTTCCTTCTCTTGAGAAAAAGCTATTAATAGAAAGCAACGAATAGTTATGCTCACTGATACCACTGAAAGCACGGCCAGCATATAGAAAGTTTATTACCCTCCAGCACACATATACTTAGTAGCTCTTCACCTGATCCTGTTTTGAACTCATAGACAAAGCTCTGTTCTTGAATCTGACACAGTCTCCCTCACACACACCTTCCCCAAGTAAAGTATCATGACTGGGAAGGAAAGAGCAAAGTAAAACAAAGGTCAAAACTCTGTTTTCTAATGATTTGTGACATCCATTTAATTTTTAAAATTTTATATCTTTATAAGAAACTGGAAATGATAACGCTGAATGAAGAAATGGAGATTAGGATACATAATACAAATTTTGATGCGCTCATAGCAAATATTGCCTGAATGAGTAGGTTAATGGAAGGAATCATAACAATAGTAGACAACCTCAATAGGTTATTGTATTATCCCAATCCCCTCTTATCCCCTCTTTAAATATTTATTACATGTAAGTTTCATGAGGCTATCCTGTCTCTTTTAATACTTTATCTCCAATGCCTAGAAACATACCCTACAGAGGTTGTTTCTTAACAAATATTTGCTGAATGAATAAATTTCCTTTCTATTTCCTTTATAATCTTTCAGTCATTTTTATGGTAATGCAAAATTATTTTCCTAAACCTCTGAGAATTCTCCTTTCAAGACTCAGAATTACCCTTTAAACATTAGACAGAGGATATAAGTGAAAAATGTAGTCATAATTCCTTAATAAAAATTTCATGTAAAAATATTTGGCCAATTTACACATAGTATGTGAATTAAGCCTTTGAGAAAACTATTTTCTAGACAATATCTGTCCTTATGAAATAGATAAAATGTAAACATACATACTGAGTATATATTTGACCAATTTTTTGCTTCATGCTCATCATGATATCACGGAGTAGAAAAGATCAGAACAGGAAAATTTCCCTAATCATTTCATTTGTTCTTATACCATAATAATCAGGATTGCCTACATGTTTACTTTTTAGTAAAAACAAGGGTAAAATTAGTGGTTTGAAAGCCAAATAGGCAGGCAGCGAGATGAAGTAGCTAACATAGATAGGGACCAAAAAAAGTATAGTTTAAAGTAGGTTCCCAACCAGATTGCATTGGGTCAAGTATGTTTAATTAAAAGCAAGTTGCTACATTCAAAAATGTCTTTAAAATAAACTTTGTGCATTGAAATTTCTTTCTTTTTGCAGTGGTTTAGTTGTGCTTTATTATATAGGGACTTAAATCTTATACATGCCTGAAATTGAACTTCAATATCTTTCAAATTTATTTCTAAAATGACATAAAGTTTACTTAAAAATTCCCCAACATCTACATCTAGATTTTTGAGTTTTCAGATATGAACTATCAGAATAGAATACCTCCTTCCATAGAAAAGGCAGCTCTTGTTATGAGGTTAAAAGTTCAATAGAAAAAAAAATCATTTTTCTTTCTCAAGTTACCAAACACCTCTTCATACCTCTTTCAAAGTGACCTTTTAAAATGGAATGTGAAATGCATAAAAAATTATGTCTCTCCATATATGCACATGTTCACAATATCCTGAGGCATTACTTTAGCAGAAAAATTCCTGATGGTTTCAATTCAATTTAAAACAAACAAAAAAAATGCTTAAGAAATAACTGCATCGTATAGAATTTTAAGTACTTCTCTTTAACCATGCTACATAAAAGGCATATCTAAATTTAGACATATGTAGATAAACATACTATCCCAAAAAAACCCTAGACCACAGAAGTTCTAGGGGAAAGTCTGTATTATATTAAACATGAGACTCCATTTCCTTGTTTTGAATTATTGGTGCTGCTGTGGCAACAGCACAATAGAGAACTTTGTTGCACTGTCAGCAGAGCTATTTATATTATTTACCCTCTTCCCTGGGAGTTCTTCCTCTACTAAGTTCTTCCATGATTTTAATAAAGCAGTCCATTCAAAGCTTTTAAAAATATCATTGCTAAATGTGAACAAACAAAAGTTACCTTTGAACTGTTCAGAGCAAACATTCTAGACATGAAACGAATCTCTTGAAGTGTTTTAAAGTAAATGAAAACCCATTTCACAGATCATAGAGTTCTGAAATAAAAAGGTAATTTCCTACAACTGAAAGAAGTGTCATATGATTTCTAAATGTTCTGAAAATTTACCAAAACATCCAGAAATGGGAAAGAGCTAGTTAAGTAACAATTCAAATGCTTCAAAGGATAAGAGATTTCCACACAAGAAAAGTTTAAGATTGCATTCCTTCCTGATTGTAGGATGAAGTAAGTGCGGTGGAAAAAGACTGTTAACTAGTTGCATAAAGGTACACATTATTTAAAATTTTAATAGGTACCCTCTGAAACATGTGGATTAACTAAGCAAAGAGATGCATTAATCAGTTTGATTTAAACTGGAAACATGTTAAACCATAACTATAATCATTTCTTTCAATGAGTAAGTTGGCTAACTAGTTGGATCAAAGGTAGGATTTTTCAATAAGACCTTTTGAACACAGTAACTAAAATTAATTCCCATATTTGGAAGTTAACCAAGACAGTTGACAGAAGGTGTTAGAAAAGTGAGAAAATAAGGGAGGAAAAATAACTATCCAGGGAGTCTTCTCAAATGACCGAGAAATGTTGGAGGTCGGGGTAGTACAAGACAAGATATTAGAGACAGGCAGAAGCTATCAGAAGAAATGGACTATACATTCTATGGATAAATGGAAATTCCACTTTTCCAGTTTCATCTGTCGTTTTCCCCAAACGCCTTCTACTCCGTGTATAAGAAACTTCTAGTTTTGCACTAAAGTGGCCAAGACTTTGTGGTCCCCCACCCATCAGCACCGTGTCCCCCAGCCTGCCCCGTCTCCCCTCTTTTCTTGCTGGCACAGTCACATTCACTTTTTTAGGCTGGAATCAACTGTATTCTCTGTCAGCTTGCTCACTGTCCTCCACTCAAGCAGAGCTTGCCACTGCTTCTTTAACATCATAGGCCATCATTCTTACTCCTGCCTGTGTGTTTATATCTTGTCATTACAAAGGTGTTTTACTCAGTTCTCACACGAAACCTGGGCATCCTCTAGAAGATTCATGCATTTATCCTTGCACCTCCATTTTCGTTTTTAAGAATTGTGCTGTGGCCCAGCCGGCGTGGCTCAGTGGTTGAGCTTCGAACTATGAACCAGGAGGTCACGGTTCGATTCCCGGTCAGGGCACATGCCCAGATTGTGGGCTCGATCCCCAGTGTGGGGTGTGCAGGAGGCAGCTGATCAATGATTCTCTCTCATCACTGATGTTTCTATATTCTCTCCCTCTCCCTTCCTCTCTGAAGTCAATAAAAAAAGGAAAAAAAAAGAATTGTGCTGTGATAACTGAATGACTGGTGGTAATAGTATCAAAATGAATTTAAAATAAATAATGAAAACGACAACATGTTTCAAAAATTACCATGTTCCCCCATGTTTTAAAATGTTGTTTGCTCATATAATAAATGCGAAAAGAAATTTAGGGTATAGAATAAAAGTGATAAGGGTACAAAAAGAAAAATTTAGGAGAAAAAGAGAAGCCATTTTTGTCACTGTCCACTATGATTACAAACAAACTTATTTAGTCAATGTTCTTGTATTAAAATTTTTTGTAGTGAATATTATATAGGCTAAAATGAATAAGCATTATTTCTAGTTTTATATGTGGATCATGAATAAAAGGAAATTGGATAAGCTGTCAATCCAACTATTCATTATTTCATTATGAAATGTAACACCAGCCCCTTCCTATGGAAGAAAAAAATCACATGTTCTTTCCTATTAACGCCCATGCCCTCTAGAGGTGCTCTGTCAGGTTGAGGAATGGCATGTCGGGAGACACAGTATGCTGGGAGACAGATGTCCCCATTCAAAATGCATGTACAGTGATTAATCACAACTCAGAACATTCCTGAAAACTCAAAAGCCTCACTTAAAAAACAATTACAGAAAGACATGTTAAAATAATATCAAGAAGCTGATACCTGCTGAATGTATTACCCAATAAATTCTAAAGAATATTTGTAGAATAGGAGAGGATTTTGTGTTTTGCTAGGTTCCATATAAGAATTTAAAATGTATTGCTAGAGGAAATACTGTGCCAAGATCCACACCTGCTCTTAGGTGAGCTTTTCCTTGCTTTATCCTCCTTTGATATGAGCTCTCTATTCAATATACACGCCTAACCTATTATTAATTCCATTTCTAGTTTCATAAAGAATGTAGTGCTTATCACTCATTTTAAAAAATATATATTTTATTGATTTTTTACAGAGAGGAGAGGAGAGGGATAGAGAGTTAGAAACATCAATGAATGTTGGGGACCAACCCTAGCAGGTCCAGGGGTTCCCAAAGGTTTGGACGGAGTCAGCGAAGAAGGAATGACATGGAGACAGCCCTCAGATGATCGGCAGCCTAGCCAGGTTCTCCAGCCAGGTTCGGTCTTTATTGTCCTGTTACATCTGTATTTATACTAGTTGATTTTAATCCTATCCATTCTATTCCAAACGTTAGGGCGTTTGTTAATCTAGTTCTGTTGAGTTTAATCCTGTCTAGGTTAATCTCTGTGTTCCATTATAAGGGCTATTCCAAGGTCACTGCTCTACTGATAAGCTACAAGGAAGTGACTGAAGGAGATTATCCTACCAGGTAAAGGTTATGTCCTCCCAGCCTCACTGCTTGCCTTCCCTGGGACTGCCCTGTGTTGGTGGATCTCCAGGGGTATAGGCTTTGGTGCTTTCCCTGGTGGGCAGACCCCTGGGGATGTGGGCCCAACAAGTCCCGAATTTATTGTCAACAGTCTTAGTCCAAGTTCTTCATAGGTAGTACATGGTATTTCTGTAACACTAGGGGGATTTACTGATTTATTCTCTTCCTTAGTCCTGTTAATCCCTAACCTGGGGAAACAACCTTTCTTGGGGAGGTGATCCTGTTTAAAACACATAGCGCTAAGAGCGGGAGCAAACATATGCCATATACGCCAGGTCCCTTGAAACATAAGCTGTGCAGATATTTCTTCCCTGCAGCGACTGTGTCAAGCAGCAAGGATGGACTGGCTTCCGGCAGATGAAAGAGAAACATTGATCAGCTGCCTCCTGCACATTCCCTACTGGGTATGTGCCCGCAACCAAGGTACATGCCCTTGACCGGAATCAAACCTGGGACCCTTGAGTCCGCAGGCCGACGCTCTATCCACTGAGCCAAACCGGTTAGGGTTGCTTATCACTCTTAAGCATGTCTTTGATTTTATTTCCTATGTATGTAACCTTAAATTATATATAGTTTGTGCAAACATATTTTTGAGATTTCTCCACAATTTCATATATCTATGTCTATGTCTATATATGCTTCGTTCATTCATTATCAAAGCCACATAATATTCCATTCATGAATATACCTCAAATTATCCATTTTTCTATTGCCGGATATTTAGTTTGATTCCAGTTTTTCAGTATTATAAACAACTAATGGCCTGGTGCATGGATTCGTGCACATTGAAAGGAAATTAATTAGAAGGTGGCCAGCGGGGCAGGGCAGGACTGGGCTGGATGGGCCTGACACGCCCTGGAGCCAACCTCCTGTGGTCCCTCCCTGGCCGCTGCCGCAGTCACAACAGCTCAGCAGTAAACCAGATTCCGGGCGACAGTGCCCCAGCAACAGCACAACCCACAGTCGAAGGTGGAATCATGCAGCCCTGTGAGGAGCCTGACTCCCTCCTCTCTGGTTCCGGTTGCGTCACCGGAGAACCGCAACCTCCAAGTCACTGCAGTTTGGCAGCTCCTGCGTTGAGTGTCTGCCCCCTGGTGGTCAGTGTACATCATATCTACCAGCCGATCAGACGGTCAGATGGTCACTTAGCCTTTTATATATTAGATGTGGCAATAAACATTCCTTTACAAGTCTTCTTGTGTACACATGAGAGCGTATCTCTATGAGATTATATCTTCCAGTGGAATTGCTGGGCTCTTATTTATAAGATACACAAGTTGACTATGCATACAGGAATAAATTGTATTAGGTGACTCCTAAGTGGTACTAATTCACAGTCCCGGGTATTATGAACTTTCCAACTGCTCCATATCCTCACCAACACTTGGTATTGTTGAACTTTACATTTTGTCAGTCTGATGGGTGTATGAAATGATATGGCATTGCAGTTTTAATTTGTATTTATTTCCCCATTACGTTTTAGCTGTTTAGACACCATTTAAATTTCATTTAATTAGATTTTTTTTCTATGATGTCTAGGTATGGTATAATGACATTCTTCCCACTTTGTTATTTTTTAATTTAACATTGTGTTTTCTTTCCTTTTCCAAATATACTTCAACATTTGCTTGTGAAATTCCATTTAAAAACCCGTTAGAGTCTTGATTAGAATTTCATTGAATCCACAGCTCACTTTGGGGAGAATTAATTTAAAAACATTGGGTGTTCTGATCCTTGAGAATAGCATTTTTTCCATTTACTTAAGTCTTTTCAAATGACTTTCATTAAAGGTTATATTTGTATGAAGACATTGTGTATCTTTTATTAGATTTATTCCAAGGTTACTTTTATTTTTGTGGTTAATGTTACAGATGTCCTAGATTATATTTCTACCTATGGAAATATATCTTCCTGATCCTTCTATCCAATATCATCATATATTTCGTGCTCCTTATATGCATCGTGGTTATGAGTAGAGAAATGTCAAATTAACTCCCTTCTTATAAAATGTTGTGATATTTAAGTGAGAAATAAAATTATGTAGTTATGTTAAACTATAGACATACTATTAGGCATTATTTCATTTTAATATCAATTGAGATAAGGTTAATACATGAGAAAAATTCAGGCAAAATTTTACAGGCCAATTTCAAAATAAACTGTGTAAGGAGGGGAAAAATGTTGAGAAGTTTGCTTTTCATACATCAAGAAGAGAAAGAGAAAACCAAATTAGAAAAAAATTTAACCAATTTTTTAAAAAATCTCTTATTAAAGGGTCTATATTTATTTAGTATAGAAAGAAAAGTATCTCTACATACCACTGACTCCTAGGAGGGGTTTTACTACTACTATTACATACACACGTGTGTGAGTGTGTGTGTGTGTAAATCTTAACTATGTCTCCATCAAGAAAGAATTAACTTGTTTACAATGTTAAAATACAATTAGGAGACTGAAAGGGTTGTTACTTTCCAGATGAGAAAAGCACCATTACAACACTAAGATGCAAAAATAAATTTTATTTAAACTGGAAATCTTTGATCCAAATGTGAAAACTACGAAGTATTAGTATAGGCAGCACTCATCCTACAAATAAAAAAATATATATATTTGGAATATAGCTATTCTGTAACAATCTATTGTGTCCCTAAAATTCACATTTCCAAAATTCCACAAAATACAAATTACAACTTTTGGTAGTAAAGGGAAAACTGAGCTTTGATACCCTAATATTTTTCAGCAAATGTAGCATTACTCTGCCTTCTTTGAGAACTGTTTCTGATATATCTGACTCTTTCCTCCCAAAGAAGTTGGGACTTTTTCCTTCATCCAGGCATGCATTGATTCATCAAACATTTGTTAGCTCCTATCTTTGCATTGGGCTCATTGTTAGATACTAGAGATACAGCAGTGAATGGAATGCACGTGTTTCTGCCCTCAGAGAAGCTTACCATTCTGCGCTAAAGTGCGTGCCAAGGAAAGTACAGGTGCTGTGAGTGCAGTCGGGGATCTTAGGTGCCCACCCTGAAGAAGTGCTGTTCACACTAAGGTTTGACGGAAACTTGAGAATTGGGGAGAAAATGAGTTCGGGCTAAGGGGAAGGCATGGGGTGCATGAAATGTGAGATCACAGCATTTCCAGGTTCCAAAGTTGGTCTATGTAGCTGGACCAAGAGGAGCAACCAGGAAACTAGTGCGAAGTATTTGATATTTGACTTCTTACTCAAACATATGGAAGCCTGAAGTGCATGGACTTTCAGGCCCAACATGATGAGGAGAGGCAGAACTGGGATTCCTAACGTTCTAAGATGTGGATCTTTCTAAGAATGGATGTGTGTGCCTAAAATGTACTTAGGCAAGAGAGCTGGGATTAGTTCACAAATAGTTCCTATACAATCTCACTTCATGATTCACATATGTACATAGAGTATACATGTAAAACTAAGACACATATGTGAGTCTCTCTAATAACTGAAAATGTGTAATTCTTTTAATATCACACACTATACACTTACAGCATCCATGTTTCCTCCCCTAATAACAGTTTCTACAAAAAGATCTTACTATAAGATAATGACATGCAATAATGGTAAGAGATAACCAAAATTAGACAGGGATGTTTGCAACTCAGACAAACTTTGTAGAAATCATTTCTTCTACATTTTAAAGAATTTCCACATAAGAGCTATTAAAGAAACTGAGTATTCTTTCCAGGTTATGTTTAGCATACCAAATCAATTTTAATGCTACATTTGTTCTTGCCAGGTAACAATGTTACAACAAAAATCAAATAATATAATTATAGGAAAATTGGGGTAACTTAATTTCAGGAATAGTAAGTAATTTATCTTTGTCTTTTCATTAAAAGAATGAACAAAGATGCCATTTCAAATAATGATATAAAATCCATGCAGACTTAGCTGGTTTTCTATTCATTTTATTTGGCTTTTCTAAACACCAAAGAAAAGTAAGCATCTGGTCAATAATGATTTAGAGGAACACGTAAAATCTAATCATAATGCCAGAAGCAACTCTGACTAATCATTTAGTATTTTTCCTCTTGTTCTTCTTTTAATACATACATTAAAAAACAATTCATCCTTTATGTTTATAATCTACTTTTTACAAAAGCACTATCATTCAAAAGATTTGGCAGATGACCTATTTTACAAATGCGTAATATCCCACAGAAGCAATGCCTCATATAAACTTAGCTTTTTTCTCCATGAGTAGGCACTCAAATATTTTTTTCTGATTTTTTTTTTGCTCTTTATAAATAATGCAGTATTGAGGCTTTCCATTCTATGCCTTTCTACTAATAATATGGGAAGTCAATGGCAGAAAAGGTGATAGTAAAATAAATCACCCTTCTTCTCTAAATCATCTTTTTAAAAATTTATGCCAACATTTTATTGAGGCCCAACTCTGTGCCAGGCCCTTCGATAAGCACTGAAGATCCAGGGATGAACGAAAACCGATATCCATTGCCAGGCACTCGCTGTCTATCACAGTGGTTCACAACTGAAATGATTTAGCCCCGCAGGGAACATCTGGCAATGTCTGGAGACATTTCCGGTTGTCACAATGTGGGGGAGGCTCCTACTGGTCCTTAGTGGGAAGAGGCCAGAGATGCTGCTACACATCCTACAATGCAGAGGACAAGCCCCACAACAAAGAATTTTCCAGCCGCAAAGGTCAAAAGTAAAAGGGGGCTAAGGAACCCTGCGTGTGGTCTGACCAACTCTATGAAATTCGAGAGATCATCTCTCTCTAATGATAATAAATTATTAAAAACAACAACAAGCACACCAATAATCTCCATGAAACTACATATTCAGGTCAACAGAATGGCCCGGGTCCCATACTCATTTTTCAAACACAAGGACTCATGTGCTGCTGAATGAGCTCTGGAGACTGTCAAGTGTGGGGCTGACACAGGGGCCCACGCTTCAGCCTCTCTCCAGTGTCACTTCTGCTCTCTTTAAACCTTCAGACTTCAGGATTTTCTCAGGCAAGGAAACGAAAACAAGGTATTTTTAACTACCTGCTCAATTGCTTGGAAAATTACCTCTTAAAACATTTTAAACACTCACTTCTCATTTTTTCCAAAGCCCTGGAGTAGCCAAATGATATTAATCACTGGAATTCCTTGATGAGGAAATGTAATATTTCAGTGTAGACAGCTTGCTTTATTTTTCATGCTGTTTATTTTGGAATATATTTATATATATTCCATATATTCCATATATACTATATATAGCAAATATAGTATATATATGTATATGTGTGTGTGTGTGTGTGTATATATATATATATATATATACACACACACACACACACACATTTGTAGGACACATACTCATTAATTTGCTACAAACCCTGCAGCAGTATAGAAAACTCCATTCTGATAGACTTACATGAGCCTTCAAAGGGTAGCAAACTCATCACAGCAATAAAAAAATCTAAGTAATTGTAAGTTCTTCAACTACAAATGCATTATTTATTAGGCCCAAACATCCTGATTTTGTGTAATGCTGTATGTAATGAGATTGTACAATTCCTTTAGTCTTCCATTTGTTCAAATAACCATAGCACAGCTGGTGGCCATAAAAACTACTCAATTGTTTTCTCAGTCTCAACCTGGAATAAATGGTCCAGCTCCAACAAAGAAGTTGTTCTTTTGTCTCAGTTCCTTCCAAGTGGTTATCGACTTAAGTGTGAAGTCAGCGCATCCCACCAGTAAATACCTCATCACATAAAACATCCAATACCAACCACCCCCCATTGCTGGAAACACAGGTTTGGAAAATAAACAGGGCAAAATGGCTCACTACTTTTCATCAGTGTAATGAACGCCATTAACTCAAACTGCAAACTCCCTATTCACCAGAAGTGAATTATTTAGTTCCAATATCCTTCCAATGGTTTCTTTTCCTCTTTAAACTTTAATTAAAATCAACCACATTTGAAAATTGAGGAGCCTAAGAAAGAATTTTCAGAAACAATTTTCTTCTAACTTTGGTTATGGCAACCTCTCTAACACTGGAAAATTCTTCAACTCACTTGGAAATTCAGTTTATGTAACAAATATTCATAAAAAAGGAGGGATAAAAATTCAAGCTATTCAACTAAATTTTATGGAGAAAGTTCAATGTGTAGAATACTGTAGTTGTATATGAAAAAAGGACACAGTTATCAAAGAGAGTATCAGCTCAAGCAATTTATATATCAACTGTATGTTTATCAACAAAACACGGAAATCAATAACAAGTTTTTGAAAATAACTGAGGTATACAACATAATTGATATTTGGGGAGAAACTTTTAAAATATTTTCTGCTGTTCTCTTTTAATTTCTGAATAATCTTATAGGTTTGATGTTTTTAATAGCTCGATTAAATATCCAGTTCTCATGAACATATTAATTGATCCAGAAATGTACATTTTAAATTACTCCAAGTTCTGTGAATAGCACCGACATCAATTAAAATGAATCAGCATTTTACGAAATACTAAGCAGAAGACTAGTATACACGATAAAATGGCTTCAAGGATTTTGGTTGATATTTTCATAGTATTTATATATCCACCTAATCTCTATTGTCTACCATGTATGAAGCCATAGTAAAGACAGAACCAGAAGCAGCCAACACTTCTAGTTGAGGAAATAAGTTACAGAAAAGCCCTTTATAGGAATACACTGGCTATCACAGGAGACATAAGCTCTCAGATTAAATAAATGTGCACAGACTCTTGTGCTGGCATAACTCCAGTTTCTGGGTGTTTACCAACCACACACACAGCAGAGCACAAAACTATTTGTGAACTGACACACTATTCTTCCTTAGTGGGTCCTTTGGTTTTTTTAAAACATAATGTCCGCAGAGGGAAGGCAGGGGAGGGTAGGTGGAAAGAGATCGACCAATATATGCATAACCTGTGGACACAGACAATACCGTGGGGAAGGCCTGGGAGGGGGGTGAACGGGAGAGGGCTGGAAGAAGTTAAAGGGGGAAAAAGGGGACCTATGCAATACTTTCAACAATAAAGATTAAACAAACAAACAGATAAAAAGCATAATGTCCGTTCTCCAAACTTAAAATTTTGTTAAAGAAAACAGTGTGAGAAATAGCTCATAAGATATTATTTCCAACAACATTTTTGTGTGTACCATGATTTTTGCTTTGGTCTCCTAGTTCAACAATCATGGAGTTTATTATAATTGAAGGTTACACCTCATTCAATCAATATTGAAACACCCAATATTGATTCCTCCTTGTTTTGAAAGAAGAGCAAGTATTCTTTTTTATACTTGTAGGATCTTCTTATCCTCACCACATCACACAGACTGAAATTAAATCAAGCTCACTATTAATAAAAGTCCTTGCTGTTTTTCATAAGCATCAAGACTCTTAAACATACATGCTCTGAGCTTAACAATGCATCATGATGGACATACATAGACACTTCTGGGCACAATGTTTAAATATCCCTGGAATAACTACATTTTTCCCTTAATGGCATGCAAGTAGACAGCACAAAGTAAATGAAAAAGATGTGGCCTATCTAACACCATTAAATGCAGACAAGATTTTTAAAAAGATATGTAGTTAAATTTTTAAATCCACTTATATAAACAGCTTTATCTTACAATTTAAATTCTGCCGAAATTCTGCTGAAGTCTGAATAAGTATCAAGAGTTTTGAGTTGTCAATAAGACAGTAAATTATTCTTCCCCATAAGAACTAAGTCATATAGCAAGCATACATGGGTAAGACTGTCTTAACATGGATCATCCTTCCTAAAATAGAAATGTGTTAATCCTTCAAAATGAATTCCTGGCCTCTACATCCATGTCCCTCTTACATAATGAGTATAAGTACAGTCATTTTTAGCAAGCTAAAATCTCCCATACCTAAATTTACCATGGCTGTAAAGAAAGTACTTTGCTAGTACAATAGCACAATAATTTTTTTAAAACTATGATGTATCTACAATATCTTTAAATTAATTAATTAATTTATATATGGATGTTTACC